CTCTTCATTAATGTGAAACTTCTTGTAAAAAATATCAAAACCAAGGATGAAGGTAGGTCTTTGACATTAGTTCAAGATATATGCTTTTGATATTTGTACATTGCAAGTTATTACCAAAAATTGTGATAGGATTAAGATACAAGAATTGATTTTATTCCCTCTCCCACTATACAAAGATTGTCTCTTTGTTCTTACGATGTTAATTTGTAACGCATGCTCTTTTTATACTCTCAAGTATGGTTTTGACTTTAAGAAAAAAGAGATTCGAATTTGAACTTTTGGATAGAAAACACTTTTGTTTATGGTTAAGTCAAAAATTGATACGAATAATTTCTAGTGCTTTGAAATGATTATGTCAAATATTAACAATTACTTTGCAAAATATAAAAGTAGTAATACCCTTTGTTGTTCTTCATATAACCTTTCCATGTTGAAATTTGGGTTCACTATGGTTAAGTCAAAAATGTGCATGTTGAAATTTGTTGTTCTTCAAGAGGGAAACTCTTGAAGGAAGGCCTTGAACCCACATTTTGACAGAATCAATCATCAAAAACGAGCCACATGCACTAAAGTGGATGTTGAATTTGTATTGGGCAGTGTAATACACGCGCCTCAAGTGCCAGGAACTACAAAATTTGTTCTTCTCGGTGGTGGTGGTGGTGGTGGTGTGGTGTTCTATCAAAAATGTTCCCATCATCTCCAATCCCATCAACTCTTACTATGTAGTTCAGGGCTCTGAAGTCAATGCCCAATGCTCTCTATATTTATAGATTTATCAATCTATTTTTATATCTAGAAAACTATAATTTTTACATATTTTTCATATCTTTTCCAATACTTTGCCACAGGTGGCATAGATGCTAATGGCCAAAGGAAGTTCCATGTTCAACCAATACCATTTCATCTTTATATAATCCCAAAATCCAATTGTGTATTTTTTTTTCTTTTTTTTAATATTAAACTAAGCTAAATTCAGTAACCCCAACTGAAGCATGGAAGTTCAATAGAGGGAGAGAGAAAGCAGTAAAGAAAAAAGGAAACTAACAAGAGAGAGAGAGAGAGAGAGAGAGAATACACTAACCCCTTGTTGCTGCCACAACACAAGAAAACAAAACAAATAAGCAACCTTCTCCCCCTCCCTCTCCCTCTCCTCATCAATCAAGCCTTGTTTTTCACTCATCATCTCTTCTCCTCCAACCAAACTAACCCCAAAAGTTTCCTGCTTTCTTTCCTTCCTTTTCTCTCTCTCTCTCTCTCTCTCTCTCTCTCTCTTTGATTGTGGGGGTGCTAGCTTGCTGGAGAGACCTATCAATGGAGAATTCAACAAGGCTAGTACAAGAGAACAGAAACAACCTCCCATCTCCTTTAAGCTCCCCACATGGCAATGGAAACAACAGCAATGGTGTTGTCCAAATCCACACCCCACCGCTCACTCCAATTCCAATCTCCAGATCTGAAACCAACCCTTACCCAACAACCTTTGTCCAAGCTGACACAACTACTTTCAAACGGGTTGTCCAAATGCTCACTGGCTCATCAGAAACTGCTAAACAGGCCTCCACTAAAACTCCAACACAACAACAAAACCAACATCATCATCATCAGCAGCAGCAGCAGCAGCAGCAGCAGCAAGATCCACCATTACCATCAAAATCATCCTTTTCTATACCTCCCATCAAAACCAACTCTCCCAAGAAACAAAATTTCAAACTTTATGAGAGAAGAAACAGTAACCTCAAAAACAGCCTCATGATCAACACTTTTCTCCCTTCTAGCGTTACAAACAGCAGCTGTTTTTCTTCACCGAGGAATACAGAGATCTTGTCTCCAAGCTTGCTTGACTTCCCAAAGCTAGCTCTTAGCCCAGTCACACCATTAAATGAAGACCCTTTCAACAAGTCTTCACCTTCTTTGGGGAATTCGTCAGAGGAAGAGAAAGCTATAGCTGAGAAAGGTTTTTACTTGCATCCATCACCTATGTCAACTCCCAGAGACACTGAGCCTCAGCTTTTGCCTCTGTTTCCAGTTACTTCACCAAAAGTTTCAGGTTCTTCTTAAGAATTGAAAGACGAAGAAGAAGAAGAAGGTGGTTATGTAATTTGAGAGTGATTTATAAAGAGGTTTAATGGGTTTTGGCTGAATTTGAGTGAAAAAAAGAGGTAGAGGATCTTTCTTCAATTGTATGATTTGATCTCTCTTTGATTATGGTAAAGCTCTTTTTTTTTTTTTTACCTTCTTTTCAACATCTTCTTTCTTTTTTCTTTTCCTTAATTTTGGTTTCGTACTTAAAACTATTAAAAGTAGATTAATTGTCCATAGATTCTATGAGAAGAATGACTAATTTTCTCTAGTTCTTCTTTTCTGTTTAGCATATTGAACAAGTCAATTTCTTTCCTTCTTTTTCTTTGGGTGGTTGTGTTAGCCTAGGAAAGAAGCAGGTCATTTACTTCTACCTTTCTTTTCCTTTGCATAATTTGACTTACTTGAACCTAATCTTTTGGTTGTCCTGCCTTTCGTTTTTATGTAAATGCAATAGTGCGTCATTTCTGTGTACAATCCAAAGCAAGTCAGCTTGTTAGTTCTTTCTGATAAAAGGGAAAACATATCAGAGATGAAACCTTGTCTCTCAGTACCTTCAAACTATCAGCATAATAATTAAAATCTTTAGCCTCTAGATATAGTACAACCATTGCAGTTGTTGTAAGGATGTTCATTTCTTTCTTTGTGATTGAGTTTATGGCAAAGAGAGAAAGGGGAAGACTTTTTTTTCAGAAAGTAAGGGAAGGTCACAGCACAATGAAGACTTTTTGGCTGCATTTTTAAGAATGGACCACCATATTGTAAGAAGGGTATCCATGTTGAGTCCAATTTAATGGAAATTTTGGTGCATTTATTTAATTTTTTTTTAAAAGAAAAATTGGGTTTTGGAAATTTTGCCAGTTCTTGTACCATGTAATAGTGCTGCTTTGTCTTTGTAACTTTATTTACTCTAGTATCCAACTTAGGCAGTTGTTAATTAATAGTATGACAAACAAGCTTTTCTTTCATAAAAATGGCCCACAAAAAGAGATCATAATAAGAAGGAAAATGAAAAAGGGATCAAACAAGATGTGACCTTATTGGATCCTCTAATCTTTTCACTTTTTTCTACCCCAAAATTCAAGTAGGAGGCAAGTTAAAAGAAATATCAATAGCAAATGTCAATGCAGCTTCTTCTTTTTTTCTTGGTATATTGTTTTACTGTTGTTCTACATTTCCCTAACCAAAACCTTTCTTCTTTAATTGCTTTCCTTAACTACCACCACCAGTTTTAGTCTGGTTGATCTGTCTTAGCAGAGTACTGAAAGTGCAGTTGAGGTATACTATAAAAATTGGTTTTAGGTATGTAAGGCTAGGCGAGGTTGGTAAGAAACTGTGGAGAACAGAGATTAATGACCCACATCTGTTACTTCTTTCAAGATGGAAAGAGCAGTCTTTGTCATTTAAATTTGATTTAGTATGCAATCATGCAGCTTGGCTTATTTATCTTTTTTTTTTCTTTTTTCTTTTAAATGCAGTCTTTTTCTTGACTTTGAGACATCACTCATCAGAGTTCTTAAGAAATGGGAACACACTAAGCAGGCTAAAGTGGAAAAGTAGGACTTTTGTTATGATTATGATTGAAAATGAAGTTAAAAGAAAAACAAAAGAACAAAAGAAAATGCTGAGTAAATGTAAAGACTTTTTCCCTTTTTTTTTTGCCCTTTCAAAGTTTTTACTTTGTCATTGCTTGAATGCCAACAGTTTTTTCACTGGACTAAGACCTGCCAACATGTTCATTTCTTTGTACCAGTTGAGATGCAAGTGGAGATAGCGTTTGGTTAGCTGTTTCACTTCCTTAACTAGGCCAAGCTTGTTTCTGTATATAGAACTTTATATTGTCTGAAGCTAATTTTTTTCCCTTAAAATGGACTTTGAATATGGGAAAGCTATGCAAAATCCAGCAAATTTTTGTGTGGTCAATAGAGTTTGGAAACCAAGTCTATTCATTGCCAAAACAGAAAAAATAAAATTAAATATCTTTCCTGTTGAACTGAGGAAAAACATTTGGTAATCAGTAGACAGAGCTGTGTTATCTAGTCCGTACTTTTGTACGGTATCTGCATGCATGCAACTTCAACTACCTCATTAGCCAGTGAGTAGCCTAGCACATTTAGTGCTTTTTATTTGCAAAGCTGAACCAAATGCTCAGAGAAATGCATACCCTTCCCCAGCTGTAGTAGATGTTTGTTGACCCTAGTCAAGATTTTGAAATAACTCCAGCTTCCGAATCACCTTTGCTTCTCAAGATTTTTTTCTCTTGCAACCATTGGTATTAGAAGAAGGAAAAATGGGAAGAAGCAAATTGGTGAAAAAAGAAACAAGAAGGGATGAAAGGGACATCAAGTTTGGAACCAGACATCTGAGTTCACGTTTAGCATATTAACACCGACCATCATTCTTCCAGATGTTAAACATCACCATCATTGCCCATCTGCAAAGTTTAACTCGGACACGAGGTTTGGTAGACATCTAAACAGACCCTTTACTGTGTGGCAGAGGTCCCTACACTTGCATGTCTAAGAATTAATGTTAGGCTTTGGTTGCTCCACAATAAGTTCAGACTTCTTTGTACCTGTATTGGTTGAGGAATGTTTGGAACTTTCAAGTGCATTTCACAGCAGACATCTGAGGCTTCATCTTCTGCAAGTTTATCACCATCATTCTTTCAAAACATTACACATCCGCATCACTGCCCATACAGAGCTAAATGGCATTCAATGTTTGGTAGAGGTCTCCTCCGATCCTTTATGGAGTGACAAATGTGCCAACACATGAATGTTTAGAGATTGACACCAAACGTTATAAGTTGTTTGCTTCAACAAGGCTACCTAACTAATCCATATGCTATAAGCAGTAGTGGTCGCCCACAGGATAGAAATTATTCACATAGCTTAAAGAGTATATTTAGAGAATGAACAAGCAAATAACTCTCTTGAATGATGATATGAAACAAAATCGACAGCAACAGATTGAGAAATGGTTGTAACAAAACCAAGATTTATTGCATCCAAAAGTGATTTATTATGTGTAGAAACTATTACAGTTGATATTTCTACGGAGGTACAGAACTTCTATCAGATCTCCAAGAAAGAGTTGATAGTCTTGAATCCATGGTTATCCGGAAGAGGACCATTTCCTGGCCGGACAGAGATTGCCACCTCCAAACCTACGACATGGATAAAGATAAAAATATTAACGAAGAAGTGGTATTTATTTTTTCCTAACTGACAATGTATATATTGCCCTAAATTTCTAGTTGGAGTAACACTGAAACCAGAAGGTGGTCCACGAGTCCACTGAACATTAAAGGCACATGCCTCAATTGACAACTTATGCAAGGATAAGCACAGTAATTTACTATTTTTCTTATGTTAACTTGTTGCACATGGAAAAGGATTCTGATATTCTCTTTTAACAGTCTAGCATGCCTAAGGGGGAAAAGATAAAAGAACAAACAAACAAACAAAAGAGAAAAAGAAGGAAAGAATATGAGAAACAGTATCACTTATTTTGCAAAAGTAAGCTCTAAATAATATAAGCCAGGCGCCAACAGGTCTAGAATTTGGACAATAGAGTAAAAGAAAAAGTAGAACCAAATTATTAGTGCCATCTGGCAGTCACTGTTAAAAGAAATTATGAGCAGAAAAGCACCTGCAGCTTTTGCAGCGGTAGCTTCATGATACACATCAGTCACAAATAGTATCTCAGATGGCTTATCAACTCCCAATGACTCACATATTTCAACAAAACTGCGTGTTTCTCTTTTGTTTCTGCAAGCAAAAGAAGGGGAAACAGATTGTTACTTTGAATTAAAAGTAAGTATTAAGTGAAAATCTATTTTAAGTACAGAAATGTCTGTGAAAGTAACAAACTTACCCCACTGCGGTGTCAAAAAATCCAGATAAATACTTCCTCAAATCGCCAAAGTTGGAGTTTCCAAATATAAGCCTTTGAGCCAACCTGCTACCACTAGAATATATATATACCTGTGGTGAAAAGAGAAAGGAGTGATTAACATTGAAAATGGAAATGTCTATACGTAGTCAAGAAGTTAGGGAGTAGGGATCCTTTTGCAAAGGGAGGGGAGAGTTGAGAGACGTCTAAAAGGTGAAACACTCTCATCCCAAAGATGCTTCAATTTTTCCTAATGGATATGTCTGTCTTCTCAGAGAAAAGAGAAAGTATCTGGAGCTATGCTGATAAGTGATACAACTTTTCAACCACTCAGATGGTCATGAACATACATTAACTTGAACTTAGGTCCAGATCAGTCTCCAAGTGGACACCTATCTACTAAGAAATTTGGCTTCAGTTTGGCAGAATGACCAGATATAGATGTCCACAATTCATATATTAACTCCAGACGTAAACAGTTATGTTCTTGTCCAAAAACGGACTGCAATCATACTGAATTCTGGAGCAAATACATTAAAACCTACTCAAAAGATAGAGAAATATAGTATCCAGAACTACATTCAGAAAATGAAAATGTATAATGAATAATAAAGTGAAGAGTGAAGGAAAAATGCAAGATCACCTTTACACCCAAACCGTGCCACTTTTGAAGAGCTTCTGGTACATCATCAAAAACTACACCTTCGAGCTCATTGTTCTCAAATCCAGTTCGCCATATGTGACCCTATTTAACCTCATATTAGCTCATCCCAAAGAGAAGCTCCAAAAAAGTATCTTCTTTCTAATTCATATTTGCTTACTTGCAATTGCTTTAAGGCAGTGATTTTTCGATCAGCTTTTATCATTGCTTCCACATTAGCAACCAAAGCTGCAATCACCTCCTCTTTTCCCACATCCCCCAAAGGGATAGGCACAGCACCAAGAACACCTTGCTTCAAGTCATCTTCAACCTGCGGAAAGCATGTTGTGATTCAATATAGACATATCATTTAGGAGTCAATCTTGAGTTCTGGACTACCTTGGTTGCTAATTTATGAGGCCAACAATCCCACCACCTTAACTACAGGAAAAGAGGTGAAGAAGTTTTGTTTGCCTAGCTAGAGCATACCAAAGAAGCAAGCATATACTTTCAGTAAGAAGCATCTATCAGAAATAGCGATCCCAGTGAAACATACGTGCAAGTCCAAATTCTTTAGTTTCCGGTACCAAAATACAGGAGTCTAAATTATGATTTGTATCCAAGTCAGTAAGCATCTTGGGAAGAATATAAGATTTCTTATTTATTCGACAGTCAACTTGCAACCTAACTCTTAAAGTTAATTCTTTCATCTAAAATATTAGAAATTAATTGCCCTGAGAAAGCCAAGCAAGCAATTTGGTATCATGATGCCAGTAGAACATCACAAAAGGTTCAAAAGTCCAAATAAAAATCTTACTTGAGAACGTAACAAATTTATATCATCTTGGGTTTCGGCAGTAGCATATGTTGCAGACAAATGCCTCCCAACATTGTTTCGGGCATAGGGAAAGAGAACATCTGTTACAAATGAAATAGGAGTTGTCGTTCCTTCAATATCCAGCACAATGCAACGCTGCAACGGAATAAAATTGAAAAGTAAGAATGTATTCCTGACAATTGAATGGACCAATCTTCTTTCTCATTTAAACAGTCAGAGTCTACCAGAATGTCATTTGCCCATTCACATTAAAGAGTAAAGAAACAGTTTACCCACTTTAACAATCCACTATATCTGCTAAAAGGGAAATACTATTATGTGTAAACCTGAATTTACCAATGGAAGGGAAAATATGTAAATTTCTTACTGGAAATGGGTCAAGTTTATAATTTGAATCCACAGTCCCAGCCTTTGTAGACACATTTATCCTGCCATTGATGCCTGAAACTCCTTTAACTTTCTGAATAGGGCCATGATCTGGAGTAGACCACTCTAAGCCTAGTTGATGAAGTTTAATAGCAGCATCAAAGAGGTAATGGTAACATTCAGCCTGAAATAGTGTGTCAGTGCCAAAGTGAGAAACACAATATGAGCAATAAAACATGTAAGAACCTCTATATTACAAGGAGACGATTCAACTCTTAATAAAGTTTTTCGTTATTCTTTCACGTTCTTGTTCACATGAATGCAAAATTTATCATACTGTATGCATGTCAACGGTAGTAAACTTTAGACATCTATAAGCAATAGTTAAGCCATAAGAAAGAGAAGCTCCAGAGACATTATAAAAATTTCACCAGTTTGGATTCAAACATTTCCATAAGTTTTACAAACCTGAGTTTTAGCACTGATCCATGAGTCTCCCCATACATATATGCCATGATTGCGAACAAGTACAGCAGTTGTTTTAGGATAGGCTTCTATCTGAATAACATTAAAGTCAACTTCAATCGAGTGAAGGAAATATTTACATGGATAGATTCAACCAAAATATAATGGTTTGACAAGAGCAGAATAAATTTCTGTAGAGAGTTGCAACATCATCCATTCTATGGGATGATACTCCACACTGAAAGGCCAATCTTTCTGGTCCAAGGAAACCTTTCCATGCCTCCATTACCTTTTGGCAGCAAATTATCAACCTTAACAAAGTGGTAACAGGCAATAGACACATCATTCGCTTTAATTTAGCAAAGTGGCACAAGGAAATAGGCATACTCCTCGTTGCTAAAGTAATATTCATTAATCTTATTCGGCTACATGAACTATGATCAACATGAAAGGCAATCTCATAATCTCTATGACAGGATGAACACAAAAGAAACATACAGCTTTGGCAAGAGAATCCGTGAGCTCATTTTCATAGGCTGTGTTCTCGATGATTGGGATTACAAGTTCATCATAGTAACCATGCCCTTGAATTCCCTTTATCATCTCCATATGAGTGATCTGCAAACATCGAAAAGAGAAAAAGTAAGTCAATCACTGAAATAGAGAGAGAGATGTGTAGCAGTGAAGACGGAAATTAAAAGTGGGAGAAAGATAGAACCACACTTTAGAATAATATTTGACAGTCAAAACAAAAACTTACACGAAACTCTTTTGAAAGTGGATTGATCATCGTTACAAGACAAGATTCCATCCCATGACTATGGATAACAGCTCCAGCATTACGCATGTGATATGCCTGAATCATGAGGGGAGAAAGCCTTTTAGAGATAAAGATAGAGCCCCAAAAACATTAAGTGGAAAGGGGGCATTCTGCTTAAGACTGATTCGGCGACAACTGTCATGGATAATTCATTAACTAATCTCCACAAATTAGACATTTATAAGATGGAGACAAATAAAGTACTAGTTTGACTGCTTAAATAAACCAAGTGATCTGCAACTAAACATTTGTGTGAAAGAATCAATAGTTATACTCCAGATGGGCCAATACATACATCATTCTTGGCTTTCAATTTTCCGTGCATAACTTAACTTCACACCCTCCAGGAATATCACAAGGTCAGATGGGATCAAGCGCACCTAAAACAGATGAGAACAAAATCTGCTGGCTACCATTTTGTAACTAGGATCTTTAATCTTGTTTGCCACCATTAAACAACAGGTGACTATGGTCTGATTTCAATCCAACAGTAGTCACAATAGCACATGCTTTACTTCCAATCAAAACTAGGAAAACCCACAAAAATCATAGTTTCTAATCTTAAATTCATCACCTTTTGGGACTGTTAAGAAGATTCACGTCTATTCCTTTTTAGTTTCTCTCTCTATCTAGCTCGATGGGTGGGAGAAGTAGTGGTTTACAAGTTATCCCAAGAAAACAAACATTTGATTGGAGGTTCATCCTCCCTTCTATTACTTTGTTTTCTCAGCAACCAAATGGAAGGCAACCAAAGTTACAGTAAAAAGAGCACGAAGTTACCAACACCATAATAACAAAATGTTCAAAGTATCATGCTCATTTTCATCGTCAAGCCTTATTACATGAAAGATCAAACTAAAAAGTTATGTGGTGTTTAAAAATAAAACAAATCATAAAAGCCAGCTATCCTAGCAAATATTTCAATATCAGCCTCATAAACTATATCATAAAATTACCAAATTTCAATAAAAAACACTCAGTAAGGTATACTGTTGGATTGATTAAACTACATCAAACAATAGTTATTTAAAAGCACAGATAATAGTTACCTTCATAAAAAGAGGAGCACAATCAGAACACTTGGGAGGCTTATGAGGGTATGGCTTTGAAGAAGGTGAAGTTATGATAGACCCATCACCCGATAATATATACATGTCCTCTGGTTCCATTCTCTCCTTCTGAACACCTATCAAAGTACCAAGTCACAAACCCATAATTGAGCCATGCCAGAAGACAATATCCAGAATATAACACAAGATGAGTTGTATCCATGTGGAATGTCAGCTGAGCTGAGTATTAGCATCCATAGTTTATGTAAAAAGGAAAGTCAGAAACACAATCAGTCTCATACAGAGGCCTGTGTAAAATCAACAAGGAAACATTAGAAAAGCAGAGATATCTCAGATTAATGAAAAAACAACTCACTGAGGCTTGAAAGCATATACCAAATAGCCAAAAAGCCATAAAAAGGAAAAAAATTGAGCTAGATTTACCACAGCCCACATATAAAACATCCCAGAACAAATAAAAATAGTCATCGGTGCTTGAATAACTAATACCAAAAGCCAAAATGTATAGTAAAACAAACAAGGGAGCTAAAACAGCAACAACTAAGATATCAAACATCCAAGTTTAATACCGAAGAAACACAGAGTTGAGCTTGAATAACATACACCAGAAGCAAAAAGAACCATTTCTAACAGAAAATAAAAATTCACATAGAACAACAACAACCCGCATAGTATACATTCCGTATTTAATACACAGACTGATTTGGGCCTGAATATGAAATGCCCATAAGCCAAAAGAACCATGAGAAACAAACATTGAGCTAAAACGATAACAACTTGTAATATCAAATATCCCAAATTAATAATCAGAAAACACGCCCTTGAGCTTCCATAACAAAACCAAGAAAATGAAACAAAAATTATGGAGCTAAAAATAACAACAACCCAAGATCATACTTCCCAAATTAATCAACTTTGAGCTTCAATAACAAATACCGGAGCCATAAAATAAAGAAAAATCAACAATTAAGCTTAAATAACAATATTCCAGATATCGAATACCCCAAATAAATGATAAAAATTAAAAAAAAATACAACTTTGAGCTTCAAAATCATTCATCCTGAAGCCAAAGAAATAAAAGCAATGAAAAGGACCAAAAAAAGACCCCACAAGATGATTGATTGAGAAATAGGTACCAGAAGGGGACATGAGGATGAGCTGCTGAGGCTTAGGGATACAGCTATCATGAACCTTCATGGTGATGCTGCCACCCGTCCCTGAGACCCATCCAAGGTTATAGAACTGGCGGCAAAGCTCAGATATCAAAGACCTTGTCTCCTTCACTGCTTTGCTTTCTAAATAAGCTTGTGATACGCTCCCCATCTTCAAGCCCCCGTTTACTGCCACTGCTGTTGCTACAGCCATTGCAAAAACAAAGGCTCTCCTTAATATATAGCTAGAAAAGTAACGAATAAGGAGAATCTTTAAATAAAAAATTAAAAAAAGAGGCTAGTTCTGCGGGAGCTTTAAAATATGCCCTTTAAAGGGCCTTTCTTTTATTATCTTCAATCTCTGTTGAGAGATGGGACAGGACAATTCTCTGCTGTACATATTTTGTCTTGATTTGTCCAAGGTGAGAATGAATGTACCTTGGGTCAGGAGTGATTGTCTTACTGTATGCTGTGGTCAAGACTAACTTGAACTCGGACTCAACTCCAAGATAAATATTTACTAGGACTCATTCACAGCTTTAGGTACTAATGGCGGCCTTTGACTGGAGCCCATGGGGGTGTGATGAAGCGACAGTGAGTTGAGATTTCAGCACGTTTTGGGGGAATGGGGATGTGGCTGCGGGTCAAATTAGTGGAATTTCTTCCGTTGGGAATTTGATTTAGAGTGTGATTAAAGAGGGGAAATTGTGTTTGGCAAGTGGCACGTTTCATGAGAATTTATTGCTTTATTGGAGTCAAGAGGCTTGCCTTGTTGTGCTGTGATTTAAAGCCCACTTATAAGAAATATATTTTTACAATTAATGCTGTAATTAAGATGTTTTGAAATATTAAAAATCTTAAATGATTTTAGGATACTTATTAATGGAGGTGTTCGGATTTTTCCTTTTTATAATCAAACTTTAAGTCTAATCTCGTACATCCAATTAATTATAAAATAGAATAGGCATAATATTAGAAAAAAATTATTGTAATTAGGTTTAGAAAAAATTGAATTAATTTTAGAGTTTTGGGAATCGAGTTAAAGATTTTATGAATTAATTAAGGGTTTCTTGAATTGGGTTTCGGATTTTAGGTTACGTTGAATAGGATTGAATCGGTTTTAGTCTTTGCTTGAATTGGATCGATTTGATTTTAAGGTTTCATGAATTGGATCAAATCGATTTTAGAGTTTTATAACTAATTAAGGGCTTCTTGAATCGGGTTTTGAGTTTATGGGATCGATTTTATAGTTCACTGAATCAAGTCGAATCGATTTAAGGGTTTAAGGTTTTCTTGAATTAGATCTAATCGGTTTTAGGGTTTTTTTAAATCAAATTGAATTGGTTTGAGGTTGCCTTGAATAGGATTGAATTAGTTTTAGGTTGTCTTGAATAAAATTAAATCAGTTTTAGCATTCTTTGAATTAGATCAAATTGATTTTAGGGTTTTAGGAAGAGTTTTGTAAATTGAATCAAATTGGTTTTAGAGTTTTATGAATTAAATTGAATTAGTTTTAGAGTTTTGTGAATTGGATTGAATTGGTTTAAGGGTTTCGTGAATCAGAATGAATCGATTTTGAAGGTTTCATGAACTAAATTAAATTGGTTTTGAGATTTTTGTAAATTGGATGGAATTGGTTTGAAGTTTTTTTTTTTTTATGATTGAGGGAGGGTGGATTCAAATCTTACTCTTTAGATAGAGAAATGTATTAATCAATGAACCAAATGTTTGAATGTATTTTATAATTGTGATATATATTAATGAATCGGTTTAGATAGGGAATAACACATCAACTGTTTACGTTTCACCGAATTGGTGAAAGTTTTTCGGATCAGATTTATAACTTTGACAGTAACTCGACCTTCTATTTTTTAACCATAAGATATTTAATGTGTATTCCTTTTTTCAGAAAAAATAGTTTAAATTTATAGACACACTAAAAAAGGGGAAAAAAGAAACTAATCTTGGTCCAAGTAAATGCAAAAGCCAACCCAAATTAGAAACCAAAAGTTAATTTAGTCCAAAAAAGCAGCCATAAATCAAGTGGGCTCTAAGCCTAAAACCCAAGCCAAGAAACATTTTTCCTTCTCAAATCAAAACCCCAAAGCAAATCAAAAACCCTACTCTTTCTCCCCAAATGAAACCGAAAGAACACTGATAAACAAAAAAGGAAAAAAGAAAAGGAGAAGAGAAGAAAAGAAACCCAGATCCTACAACCCTTCTTGGAAGCCATGAAAAGAGCGCTGTTGAGAAGCATTTCACTCACTACTCGCAATTTTCTTTACTCTTATACCAAAACCAGTCAAAACCCAGTCCAGTCACTCACCCCACTCGCCGCGTCGACTCCGTCTCGACTCAGGTTCTACTCGTCCGAGTCGGATTCTCCCGGCGAAAAGAAGCCTGACCCAGTTGCTGAATCTACTTCATTAGCTCAAGCCCATGTCAAGGATGTAGCTTTGGATGTTGAGGATGTGAGTACTGAAGGTAAGAATCCGGAGAAAAAAAGATTGGATTTTGGGTTTCTTTTTGGCAGTTTTTTTGTGGCGTATTTGTTGGATGATGAGAAAAGAAATATGAGCTGAGTGTAAAGTTTGATTTTTTTTTCCATTATTTGGGTCAATTTGAATTGGTTTGTTGTGTTGGTGTTCTTAGTTTGGTAAAAAATTTTAAAATTTGGGTCTAAGAATTTTGATCTGGGCTTCTTTTTTCTGCATCTCGTTTATCGCTTGGTAATGGTTTGTTACACATTTGTTTGGATAATGAGAAAAGCAAAAGAAATTTAATTTTTTCTTTGGTTTGGATAATAAGAAAGGCAAGTGGTAGTTTATTTCTTAATTTCTATTTAATTTAACTTTGTTTCTTCTTTGGTGCTAGAGCTGAAAACGCGAATTGAGAAGTACTTCAAAGGGGATGAGGAGGCACTCCCATCAGTTCTTGAGGCCATTTTGAAGAGGAAAATGCTTGGGAAGCATGAGGAGACGGATGATGATTTGTTGGAAGAAACGAGGATTCAACCAGTTGATGATGTGACGGATAGAGAGTTTGAATCAGATTTTGAAGAGTTGTACTCAACTGATGAAGAGATTGATGATTTGTATAATGCAAGGGATATAGCTATGAAGAAAATGGTCAAGGATGAGTATTTTAACATGGATGATCAGAAGTGGGATGAGATGATTAAAGAAGCAGTTCAGCATGGATATCTTAAAGACACAAAAGAGTGTGAGGAGATTCTAGAGGATATGCTTAGCTGGGACAAGCTCCTTCCAGGTTTGTCCCAATTTTAATATATCATCCTATGTCCTTTATATGTGTGGCTGTCTGGTTCCATAATACTTAATTGCTTTACTGTCTATGCTTGACTTACTGCTAATTTCTAGCTTTTCATCTACAATACTTATAGATGTTAAGATTATCAATCTTTTTTCTTCTGAGATGATTTATGGTAACATTTTGAAGGCTTTTTGGTGTAGTGAAATGACAAGGGTGGACTTATTAAAATTGCTTGTGATTCTTATCACAATGTTGACTCTGAAGACCTGCTTATTAGTCTTGAGCAACCCACCCCTAATTTTCCTCAAAAGTTGTTTCCTACTCTGTTTTCCTTTTTGTATGCATTTTCTGAAATATTAGCCACCATTTGGTTTTTAAATGAAATTAAGTTTAGATAGAAAACGCTTAAATACTTGCTGTGTTTGTGGCCATAATGTTGATAAACGAGAAATGGCCCTAGACTACCTCAATTCTCAAAAGCTAATTGCTTGTGATGACACATAAATAGTCACCAGCAAAGTGATGGCTTAAGATTAAAGAATTTGTTTTATGAGTAAATATATCTTTTTCAAGTTCAATTTTAAATGTCACTCCATTTGCGCCTTTCCAGTTTAACTATTATAGGCAAATTGATATTTATACGATTTATTTCTCATGAATATTCATTGCAAAACTCTTACATATTAATCGTTACCAAGACAGATTTGTAGGGTGAAATAATAGGTGGATCTTGTTTTAGTTTACCATGGTTGCTTTACGCCTATGTGACTTAATGTTAAAACACAAAGCTTGTACAATTGAAGGAAGCAAGTTCATAGCTCTAGGATATCAATATATGAGATTTTCAATGATGGTCCTTTTATCTTATTGGCCTCTAGAGTCTAGGGTGTTTCATTTTAACTTTATATATTCTTTTAAATATGAACTGCATGGTGCTCATACACTGTAACAAGTTATGGAAGTTTCACTCAACTTGGACTATATTAAAGAAAGGAAAAAGTTGGTCATCATTTGGAGTGACTTGGATCAAGGGATAGCTAGAGTAGTTGTTGCACTTTCAGAGCATCTGATTAATTTTGGCTTGTTATAGTTCATACGTTTATGTTCAATGAATTGAAAATGTTAAGAATAAACTTTTGAATGAGAGTAACTGAGATATATGACTTTTTTGAAAGTGTTGAGAAATAGAGTTGTCTAATATCAGAAATTGGTATATGATAAATGCATGTACCATCCTGTTTGTGGGAGTTATGTGTTGAACATTCAGTGTTTCTTTTAACGGACATTCAAAACTTGATCTGCAATGTCCTTTTGACGTTTTTGCAGTTTGACTTTTCTTTTTTTATTTTTTTAATTGTATTTATGACCCTCCTACACTTGCAAGAGTCTTATATTTAATCTTCTGAGCATTATTTTGATGTTCTTTGTGAATGGATGTTTGCCAGCTGTGATTTAATTTATGTTGGCATGACCAGATGAGATGAAGAAAAAGGTGGAAGAAAGGTTTAATGAGCTAGGTGATATGTGTGAAAGAGGCGAGCTTGAAGTTGAAGAAGCTTATGAGCTATTCAAGGAGTTTGAGGATCAGATGGTCATGGAATATGGAAGGATGATGGAAGCTGAGGGCCCACCCAAATTTGATGAGACTGATGTGCCTGACATGAAAAAGAACTTGGATGACCCACCTGGTGAAGGGCCAATCCTCAGGTGGAAAACACGGGTAGTCTTTGCTCCTGGTGGTGATGCATGGCATCCCAAAAACAGAAAAGTAAAGATGTCTGTTACAGTGAAGGAGCTTGGGCTTTCAAAGCATCAATTTCGCCGGTTAAGGGAGCTTGTTGGGAAGAGATACCATCCAGGCAAAGATGAGCTTACAATTACTAGTGAGAGGTAATGATACTGCATTTTTCTTTCCAAATGACTCCTTGCGTCTTTTCATCTTCTTTGTCTTCATATGGCCCCTAGTAATCTTCTGAAACCCCAGCAGCAGGAATTAAATTACTATGACTTCTTGCACCTGGTAAAAGTACAATAAGTTGTCTTAAATGATTCCTATGTGCCTTAATCAATGCCTGTTTGGATAGGATTGATATAATTATTTTTATGCTTGTAGACATATTCTTTGCACTTCTGGATCCTTGGGGAGCTGTTAAATTTATTTTATCCATTCTTCCAACCTTTCAGGTTTGAACACCGGGAAGAGAACAGAAAAGATTGCCTTCGAACCCTATTTTCTCTCATTGAGGAAGCTGGTAAAGCTAACAAAATGGTGCAGGAAGTTCGTGCTTCGTATGTGAAGAACAG